TAAAACAACCCCCTAGTAATTACGCAAGCTTATAGCTATACCGACGTACAAAATGATGCTCATGTGTCACATTTAGTGTCAAACGTGTGACAGCGCGCGCAAGGCGTCGTCGCGAGGGTAAATCACCATGCTGGCGGGTTCGTTGCCGCGGTGCTCTAGCTGCAGGTGACTTTGGCTGATGTGCGTCGGTGGTGGGCCGGTAACACACAGCTCTCAGGTGATTACCGGCTCCGTTGTTGGACACCGACGAGGTTCTTTTCTCTCTCGCGCGCAGCCCCTCGCGTAATCACTCATCAATTGTTCGAGTTCTTTCCGCCGGCGCGTCTTTGTCTTTTGCTGTCGCGGCCCCCAGCAGATCTGCTCGCGTAACCGCACGGCACAACGGCCAGTTCGAATTGAAGGCGAGAAGGCGGTCTGTATAATATAGGCCATTAGTTTCTCGACAAAACTCCGCATGATGATCGTGAGGCGACCTGCATGCGGAGAGAAGGGAGGGAGAGAGATAGTGAGAGAGAGAGGACAGACAGATAGACAGCCAGTCAGTCAGACAGACAGACAGACAGACAGGCAGATAGACAGTCAGTCAGTCAGTCAGACAGACAGACAGGCCAGATAATTAGTCAAGATACACAGACAGACAGACAGACAGACAGACAGACAGACAGACAGACAGACAGACAGACAGACAGACAGACAGGACAGGTCAGACAGACAGTCAGTCAGGCAGACATACATATACACATGCTATACAGACAGTCAGAGAGACAAACAGACAGACAGACAAACAGACAGACAGACAGACAGACAGACAGACAGACAGACAGACGGACGATGGACAGACGGACGCGGACCGGACAGACGTGACGGACGGACAGACGGACAGGGACGAACAGGACGGCACGGACGGACAGGGACAGGACAGTTAAACGACAGACAGCACAGACAGACAGTCAGTCAAGTCAGCTCAGACAGACAGACAGACAGCCAGAGCAAACAGACAAACAGACAAACGCAGCCCGAGAGAGCGCGGGAACGCGCGCGCGGACGAGAGAGAGAGATGAGGGAGAGAGACCGAGAGCGAAAGGTAGGAGAGAGAAGAGAAAGAGAGAGAGCTGAGAGAGAGAGGAGAGACGAGGAGAGAGAGAAGACGAGATCGGCTGCGGAGAGAGAGAGAGAGCAGAGAGAGAGAGAAATGATGACGACCGCGCCTGCTCCGTTCTGCACCCTCATGATCAGCGGTACCGCCTAGTTGCGCAGCTATTTGTTTTCCGCGAGCTCTTCACTAACGACGCCTCGCCAGACACGGGTAGCCAATTAACCCTTGCCCCCCCCCCCCCCCGGCCCCATTTCGCTTAGGTAAATTTCGCGTGTGGCCGGGCGAGCGGGAGGGGCGTGTTTGTGGGGCGATGCAGATGGGCTCTTTGTGGGGAAATGATGCGAGCACAACCTTTTGCGCTCGCGGCGGCCACAGACCCCCCCTCCACTGTTAAACTGTACATTCGCAGGCAATGCCGGGACTCCTGCACTGTATTATGTGTGTGGCGGCCGCCATATTTCATTACGGGTATGCTCCGTTCGTCAGCCGCATGGAACCAGGTACGGGGGTCAGTCTGAGAAAACTAGTTGCATCGAGGTTAGGAACATCGGCGGACGCACGAGAGCAAAATCAGGCCATATAATAGTCGCTGTGTCGCACGCACACGCGAGTGCAAAAGATCGCCAATGACCAAGCAAGATACGGCACGCACGAATTTAATACAGCATACGTACATTTACACACGTGTTCGTACGTTACGCACGCGCGCGCGCCACGCCCGCACACATCACAGCCCACACACACACACACACACACACACACCGCACACCACACACACACCCACACACACACGCACACAGCACACAACACACTAACACGACACACATACGACACACACACACAGCACACCACACACACACACACACCCACACACAGACACACAACCACACACACCTCACACACACCCACACACACACACACACTCACGCACACACACACGATACACACACACACACACACACAACACACACACACAGCCACGACACTACGCCACACTACACCACCAGACACACCTACACACACACGCAGCTGTCAGACACACGACACAGCACACACAGCACACACAACGCACACACAACCCACACACAGCCACACACACACACACACACACACACACCACCACACACACAGCACACGTCAGCGGACACACACAACGGACGCGCACAGCCAGCACGGGCCGCAGCAAGCACGCAGCACGTAGGCACGCAGCACGTACGTGTCGCCGCTCGTCATCTGCTACGCCGTGCGGTCTCCATATGGCTTACGGGGCGGTACGAGTTGCATTTGCCCTCGCGCGGATACGATCTTTACAGATTAACGACGTTTTTATTTCCATTACGGGCGAGTAGTTCTCAATTTCGAGGATTTATATTGGGCGTCATTGGGTTGACAATTTTTCACCACTTCCCTGATTTTTTGCTGATCTTACCGCAGACGTGTGTCAGTAG